TAGAAGTAGTCGTGGCAGAGTGGTTAAGGCGATGGACTAGAAATCCATTGGGCTCTGGCCCGCGCAGGTTCGAATCCTGCCGACTACGTCTATTTAGGGTAGTGTTTTGGGGTTCATCGATGGCGTCGCTGGAATCTTATCGATATCGATTTAGTCTCAATTTTCGTAGCCATCACCATTAATTCACACACAAAAACCAAGTGGTGATATAGTAATTAGCATAAATGTTGTTCACCTTTGTCGTCATTTTTAATTATACTTGCTATTTCCCACACCAGGGAGAATAAAACTTGAACACTAATACTTACACTATGTCACTAAAACAGTATAACAAGAATGCATGATGCAAAGCCCATTCTATAAATGTTTAGTTTAAATATTCCTTGGTCGAGGTAAGAAACTAGGTGATAATATCAGAGCATGGGTCTTATTTAGGAACTCCTGCCAGAGCAACTTCACGAAACATAAATGGTATTCCCAGATTAACATCAGTTGTTAATGACATTAATTCTCAACTCCGATGAAACGACCAATTACTCTGACAAAGTCCTACCCACTGTGAAGCTAATCACTACGAATCTACAAGTAACATAAATTCAAAATTTCTTGGGGCGGTCACTGTATTTTCAGATGATGGAAGGGGATTGTTTGTTTTGTTTTTTTCTTGGGGGGGGGGGGGCAAAGTCTTTTCATACTTATGCGAAATCAAATTCCCCGGTACCCCTGGCCAAAGTCAAGTCTCTAAGGCGTGGCAAAGTAAACATGAAACCAGTCAATCGCTGAAATCGTTGGCACACCACGTGCTTACCAGAGATATGTCTCACGGTTAATTCCTTGCAAAGTTGCCATTACTAAATACAATAAAGGAAAAGTCAAATCTAACATAATACTTCCAGATGAAAGAGCTCGGCAAATGTGAGAACATGCAATTTACCGCTTTTTTATATCACTATTCATTCTCTAGATAGATTACTTTTCATTAATTTATGTAGTCCACCATCTTGATTCTTCAGCAAAGGATTATGGGTAAAGTATGACATCGTATCCACTGTTGTCAGCAATTGAGAAAATTATTTCATCTATAACTTCAAAAATTGAACTTAAAATTGGCTGAAAGTTTACAACATGGTAGCATGTATGCTCCGGTGCGAAACATGCATATAAAAATAGTTGTCATGACAACAGAACTGTAAATATTCATTTTTGTGTTTTGCCACAAAATGCTCAAATTTCCATATATTGTATACAATTTATCAATGTGAGTAGATTATACGGGTGATATATAACCTGTTGACCACAAAAAGGGAACAAAAAAGTGCCATTCTACTTTTAAAGATTAAAATAATGAGTTTGACTGTTTTTACGTTTTTGGCAATATCTTCACTTTATGTGTATTTGTAACATTTTAAAAATCCATTACCATAATTATATACACGAGTAATATGCACACTGAAAATTTGCAAAAAATTGCATTAGTATTACTCACGTTATAGAATAAGATGGATACATTTTCTCAATTTTTCAAAATAGAGGATATGATGTCACACTTTACCCACAATCCTTTTCTGGAAAATCAAGATGGCAGACTACATAATACTGATGAAAAATTGAATATCTAGAGAATGAAAAGTGACAAAAATGTAAATTGCATTCTCCTACATTTGTGGAGGTTTTTATTTAGGGAGAATTGTGCTGTTTGGCTTGACTTCCCCTATAAGTAAACAATCTATTTATCAAATTCCTGTAATATATGTTTATAATCTCTACCCTAAACATGCGAGTTGTTGATTTTAAACAATAGTGCACCGGCGTGTGAACCGAATGTGCGCACGTGAGGTCAATGTTAACAATATACACAATCCACGTACTTGGCGTAATTTTGAATCATTTTACAGTTTCACTGACTTAAAGACAGTAAACGTCTATTGCTGAGATTACTTACTTAATGGAAAAAAATTGACGATCCCATTGCAGTGTTCAACAATACAACATAGCAGTAGTCTTGGCCGAGTGGTTAAGGCGATGGACTAGAAATCCATTGGGCTCTGCCCGCGCAGGTTCGAATACTGCCGTCTATGTCTATTTAAGGTGTGTATCTCTACGTTACCAGTGAACAATGTGGAATGATTTCAACACGTCGCTTACATGCAAGCCAGTGGACACTAACAATCAGCAGCGTACAAGTAAGCCAGGATATTTCTACGTTAACAATGTGGAATAGTTTTAACACGCCGCTTACATTTCCACACGGACTATATAGACATCTTACATGTAGGCTAGGCTATTTCTATGTTACCCATGAACACTGTGGAACACGTCCCTTACATGCAGCAGATTAATATAAGACGATAAGATATGTAGTTATACAAAATCAACTGAATTACTTCAAAGTTTGAATAGCAATTCTGAATAAATGACGTCGCCGTACTTTGAAGTGTTGGCAATTGACAGTTGCTATGCAACCCAAATAAAAACATAAGTCGGATTTTAAGTCACTTATGCAAATCCTCAAAAACTAATGTGTAAGAATGCTGAATATCCTTTTTCGAGTCCTAATAGAAAATGTATCGCCTACGTGTGAGTGTGTGTTAGCACCCCCCAATTGAACCCTGGAATGAATCTACTTAACCCCTATTGCACCCTTTTTCACAAACAAAAGATTAGATCTACGCAGTCTTAAATATCTGACTCATACCAAATGAAATGCACAATATGGAAGCTTAGATGCCTGCCCACATATTGAGCTTATGTTGTGCTGGGCAGTAAACATGATATAGTTGTTGTAAATACACTGCATACTTATCTGATAAGTCTTTGTTAAAAATGTGTGCTTGTTAAAAATCACCATTCAATTCAGACGAAATGTTGTTATGAATATATATCGGACAAATAAACTCACGACGATAAACAAATTTATGACTGACATGAATTCAAACAAATTGACAACGGAAAGACATTTTCAAAAGCCCTTCAAAACATCGTAGTCGTCAATGCCTTTGAAGATAAGGTAAAATGATATGATTTGATATATGAATCACCACATATTGCGGTAATTAGTATGTTATTTTATGAACTAGTCTCTGTCTTTCTTTCTATCTACCTGTATGTGTGTCTGTCTGTATGTGTGTTTGATTGTCTCACTGACTGAAGATATCCGCCACTAACATTTATATTAATTAACTTAATTCGCCATAACTTTATATACTGGTATGTGCATTGCGTGATTTGTGTCAAAAATCATAACAGTCAAAAATCCGTTGCCAAATACGCAATACATAATTTATTTTATGACAAAATTTTCTTGTAAGCCTTATTTATCTATGGTGAAGTAAGCAATTTACATGTAAATGTCTACGAGGTCAACAGAGAGTCAACAAGTTCGTTACGGGGGTGTGTACAAACACCAATACAAACGCAAATCGCTACGGTGAATTACCTCGCCTGGATATTCTTGAAGAAATATAAAACTGAAGAAATAACCAAATCAGCGACGAGAATGAGCCGCTTGCTGACCGTTGGACGCGGTGTAGTCTACAGTCTCTGTTCTGGGGTGACATTGGTACATTTACTTGTACACTACGTGGTTGGTCGTGAACTGAGTCTAATGACCCCGGTTTATATTTTTCTATCAGGTAAGAATTTTAAACACTCGACTACCACACTCCTTGCAGCCAACCTACTACAGATGAAAGACTATGGTACCTGGCTACAAGATAATCTAATTGCTAGGTATACCTGGTTGAAATATCAAAACAACATCGTGACGGTGTATTTGCATTCCCAAGGTCATTATCTTCTATTTAAGGTCATCTGAAATATGGTCATGTGATCACTATTAACCTTGTTATCAAAACGTCTTGCCAAAGCTAGGTTGTTTTAGGAGCTGTCCGGGTCGTTCATTAAAAATGTCGCACGAGAAACGCAAGTCATTCGAAAATGGTGAATGATTGTCTGTGGGGAGAGGGGGGTTATATTTCCCATTTTTATGTGTTTTTTTTAGTATGTCATATACAATGTTTTACTTCCGGAAAATAACAATTGAGAAGGAGCTAATATGTTTATTTTTCGACCGGGTTTCTATGCCATTAGTCACGGTACATTTTTGTGTCAGAATGTTTAAACTAATTTTAGATTGATAAAGTTTTCCACTTGGGATGAGACTTACATACAGTCTCTTGTTTGTTGTTTTTCATTGAAATACTAGTAGTATATTACCTGGTACCTGGGTGTATAAATGGCGAAAGTAGACTTACCGCGAAACAGACAAGAGACTTGTGTTCTTTGCAAGGGTTCCCTTGCTATTAATATTAACGAGCATTGCAATTACGTCACAAATTGACGTAATTTACATATAACAGGATTTGATGGGAGGAGCATGCATACATATAAGTTCACATTCGTTCAAGATCATGGACAAACGATTACTAGCACGCCAACAAAAACGAACATCACAACTATATCGCCGAGGATTCGGGAGAGAAAATTGCATTGTGGGTCAAAAATAGAAAAAAACGGATAACCGTAGAAGACTGTTTAAGCTGGCCAATGCATGATTTCCTGTGAAGAAAATGAGTTGGTTGTCGGTGATTTGATAAACCACAAACCACTCACACAAACTTCAAAAAATAAATACTAGATCAAAATAAAATTAAATAAATATACAAAAAAAAAGCCAAAACTAAGATCTTATTTTAATCATAGTGAGTCTAGTGCATGTATATTTAGCGCACCTTCGACGCTGTCTTGCAATGTCATCATAAAAAAAACGTTAAGAATATTGTGAAATATAAGTTTCGAGACGATTGTTAGTTTATGAAAATTCAACTTCAATGTTGACCTTGACGCTGATTGGTGGAACTTTATTGAGCCTGCTAGTCATTGCATCACAGTGACTGAGTACCAGACCGGTAGACAATCATCACCGGCGTCACCATTTGTACACTCACGCTTACTTTATTGTATTTGAAAAACAAACAAGAGACTGTATGAAAGTCTAATTTGGGGTTTGCTTTCACCCATAGATAACTGGACCAAGATATGTGGATAGCAAGCTGTTGATGAGGGTTAATTTGTGGTTTAAAACAGTTTGAATTCAGATTTTGTAACGTAATTTCTACACTGGTGTTTGACCTTGATTATTGATTAAACTTAGTAACCAAGGATCGTATATGGGGTTTTATTAATTTTCAAAGCGTATGTTTGATAGTTGCTGTACTAGATTAACCAGACCTTGCACCTTGGTTAAAACCGCGCATCTAGGTGTACCGTCTGGAGTTGAAAAGGTTGGCCAGGCGCGATGTTCGCGATGTACCCAATACCTCACCAGGTAGAGCATTTAATGTGTGATCTGTTTGGGAATTTGGTTCGTTCATCAGCTTACTTTATTTCTTCAATTGTATTGTACTGTTCATGACAAATGGGGTGTTATTCTGGTGAAGTAAACTTAATATTCTTATGCCAGTGGTCGATTAGAGTAAACCAATAAATAAACTCCGCCCAAATGACGTTTACAAGACTCTGCCCACAACTGCTATCGCTCCTTCTAATGACGAAGTGCTTCCGTGGCGTCAAACTAACGTCTATCATACGGGTGAAGACAATGTCCCAAATCGACAACTATGTATAATTATGTAGTCGTTCATCGCCCAGAATAATAAAATCTCTCAAAAAACTAAGTTCATTGATGGACGGCTACAGATAAAGACGATTTCGACATTTCGAAGGGCTTCGTGTCATCATTTACGTCACAAAAAATTGTCGTCACTAGAGGGCGCTGTTTACAGAGAAGGTGTATTACTTATTCTTAAGGTAGCGAGACTATTATTTGTGTTGAAAATTACGATTTTCACATTTATTTATTAATTGATGAAATGCACTATAAACTTTCATGTGATAAAGTCAACAGTATATAGAACGTCATGTAAGTTGGTTAAAATGTAGATTTTCTGAAGGGAAGCAAGGCAGCCTCAGTAGTGTTTTCCAAAATCAACAACACAGGTTTAATCTGTGTGCCTATAAGTTTCAAAGATAAACT